TAAAAGTAACATTATATAAAGCTATATAAACATCAAAATTCATTTGCAAAAAGAAATAATAGTTATGTGCAGCATATTATTTTAGAATGATCTAATAAACTGTGACAATTTGCATTCTCAAGTCTGGACAGCCCTGGTAACAAGATTCCAAAATAAATATGGTATCATGGCAAAACTGAATAAATTAGTGACAAAGGAAAAGGTCACAACCCTTCCACACGTACACATGATAGATTCTTGATTTCGTCAACCCTTTTTGACCAAAATTAGAATCTCACTGTGACTTCTAACCTACCTCAGAGAGATGAAGCTCATTATTCATGATTCGTTTGAGCAGTTGAAATCTGCCTACGACACAATCAGAATGCCGCAACTCAAAGGCATTGAGTGCGAGGTCGAAATAGGAATAATACGGCCATTTAAGCTCAGAACTTTAAAAACATGTGCCAAAATGTCAACGCAGCGTCAACGTGCGTCAGCTGACCGTCCCTTGTTTTGCCCGTAGCTATAGGAGTGTCCGTGACTGTATAGTAACGTCATTATTTGGTGTGTTAAGGTGTGTTTATTGCTCGGGGCGCAGTAAAATTGTTCTAATACAACTCAAATGTTACGAATGTCCATATTGTCATCATTATTCATTCATAAATATGATTCAAAGCAGAACAGAAAATTAAACGGTCTATTGTGGTCTTCTGCAGTTACTACCACTTGTACGCCATTGATCGGTTTAACAACGCACCTTCCACTGCTGATACGATGTTTGGATGTTTGGTTGGTGATGATGGTGGAATGGGAACAAGGGTTAAAGCATGTTAAAAAATTGCCCTTGAAATAAAACCGCTGTTGATTATGAACGATCACACATTTTTACAATTGAAATGTTTAGTTGTAAAAGTAGGTAGGTATTTACGTTCCTCATTGATCGGGGTCGCGATATTTCTGATCATGTTCACTACTGGCGTGCCGCCGAAAATTTTAGACAGTATACCCCCTCTTTTCGAAACAAAAAGCGTAATTTTATCTAAGCAACTACTTAAAATGAATCCTAAGTACATTTGTATTTTCTCATTATTAATCTGTATTGTCGCAAGTGGGTAGCGATGCTGGCCACGGCACTGTCAGTACGGTGTTTGTAGGTTAGAAAGGATAGGCTACTGCCAGCTAAGCACAATTTTGTTTCTGATGATCGTATTTTAAATATCTTCAACACATTTCAATTCTAAGAACATTGATCTTGCTAAATTATTCCTCTTTGACATCTTCTGTTCCCTTCAGTACTCTTCCCATTAGCACATAATGTCTGGTGTTGACAGGGTAATTAGTGCTGTTAGTGCCGAAATAACATAATTGCCCATTTGTTTTCAGATTGATGAGATGGAGTGACATGTCTTCTCTCACAATGATGCCATGTGGCACATTAAACTGAACAGTTACCTTTAATAAGTACAATTAATAGAGTATTAAAAATGATGGAAACAGCTCACTTTACCTCACCACCACCAAACATGGGGTTGCCTCCTCCAATGGGTGGAGGCGGAGGTGGTGGTCCGCCAATGATATCATTACCTCCACCAAACATGGCTGTACCTCCTCCTAATATGCCTGGTCACCCTTCACACCATTTCAATCGTTACAACAGTGGAGGCCCACCTGCTGGCATTCCTCAACATGGCCCACGAGGTCATCAACAATTCTTCCAGCCTTTCCGACCATATCCAAGACCCACTTTAGACCCAGAGTTTGATGGTAAAAGGCTCCGTAAGTCTGTCATGAGGAAGACTGTAGATTACAATTCTGCTATTATTAAATTAATTGAGGTAAGACATCAAGTTTTTAATCATTGATTTCTCCATCTGTGTTGCATCTTTTTGGAGTTGTTAATTTTTGTCTCTCTTTGTGCTCCTACTTAGGCAAGAGTTTGGCAACGTGACTTTAGGGACAGAAGGGCTCTTCAACCCGATGTGTTATATTATCCTGACCTATTACCACCCCGTAGTTATGAGGACAACCCTATGAATGCTGTCACAACGAGATTTGTGAAAACAGCTACCAACAAAATGCGATGTCCTGTGTTTTGTATGGCATGGACTCCAGAAGGGAGAAGACTAGTCACTGGTGCCTCAAGTGGAGAATTCACTCTATGGAATGGGCTTACTTTTAATTTTGAAACCATCCTTCAGGTAGGATTTTAGAAGCCATTTATTTTGGTATTACTATAATGGGATTGTTAAATGCTATAACTTTTCAATATTTAGAAACAAACTACTTTTCAGTTTAACTACTGCCATAATATTGTTATGGTTTCTCTCTTGTCAATTCCACTTTATTGTTTCATATGGTATCTGATGACTCTCTCCTTGCTGGTTGTGTTACAGGCTCATGACTCTCCCGTAAGAACAATGGTGTGGTCTCATAATGAGCAGTGGATGGTCACAGCGGATCATGCTGGTTATGTCAAGTACTGGCAGTCCAACATGAACAATGTCAAGATGTTCCAAGGGCATAAGGAGGCTGTTCGTGGCATAAGGTACTGCTTCCTCGCCTCCAGGCTCTGCTATCTTCTTGTTGTATTATATTGTTTGTTACTGGAAATGATTGAGAAAAGGAATTGTGTGTTGGTTTGCCACATCCATGACAAAAAATATGGGTTGGCTCCTGGTCCTGTTTATTTACATCTGACCTCCAGTTCCTTGTTTGCAATTCATTCTCCAACTAATTTTTTTTTTTAAACCCACTTTACAACTTTTTCTTTTCAACCCACTTTACAACTATTTTTTTCCATTAATCCCATCAGCAGGTATCCTAGGCTGATCACACTACCAACATTTTGGACTTCATAATTCTATTTATTCATTTTACAGTTTTACATTGGCCTTGTGATTTTGTTCTGCTTCCCCCTCCCAACTTCATAAGTTTTGGTCTGCATGTCTTTAAGTGGTGGTGGACTAGATTTTTTTTTGATTTTTTTTTTCGCCTTACAAATAATTTCTTGGTCTTGTGTTCCTCACTTTTCCTGAAAGTCATTCCCACATCCCTCTCCCTCCTTTGAAAGAAAAGAGTAAACGAAGAGAAAAACACTTTTTACACACTACTGAATCATTAGCAACTTTGCACATCCTATTGTTAGACAGGAAAGGACTCTTAATTTTCTTCATGGTTTCATCCTAAGTATGGTTTTCTATAGTGAATGAATACATTAAAAATATAGTTCCGAATTTACCAGGATATTTTAACTGTAGTCAGAAGAAATAGATAATCTACATGCTATGAATTTTTTGGGAAAATTAAGTGCTCTTTTGGACCAACATAGATTGCGTAGGGCCTATGCATGCAGTTAGAAAATTTGAAGTAGATTTTTCCATGCCTGTGGAAGGACACATTATTGCTCTTGTGCTCACATGTGATATTACAGTATTAATACAAATAATTCTAGTCATTTTCATTATCTTCTTTTGTTTCCACTTTATTTGCTGGAGTGATATGGTTGTATATTTTACTTTGGTGTGCTCCTAATAAAAATACAAATAGCTGCCAAAGCAACTGGAATGCCATATTTTTATAAAGTATATGTTCTTGACTTTTGTAACGATGAGACTGAAAACAAACTGGTAGTGTTGTTGACAACATTTTTTACCTATCACTTAATAAAGGTTTTACATCGGTTTCTCCCAGTTACCCTTTCGTTGACTTGTACTTTATGTAAGTCTTAGCCTACCAATAAATGAGTGATAACTGTCAACACTTCGTAGTTATTGTCATGTAAACCCTGGGCTACGCAATTTTCAGAGCTTAAGTTTTTTCTCTAAGTAAAATTTAAAATTGCTTTTTGCTCTTTCAAAAACTTGATAAAAGAACACATGTGGGCAAAGTTTTGCAGTTTGGCTTTATATTCAGAATTTTATTCTCTAATACGGTCAAGGTTTGTGTGAACTCTATGTATTAATCTGTTCTGGAGCATTGTTAAAATGATCCCTTCCACCCCTGCAGTCAGTTAAAAAATTCTGTTACAGAATTTTATGTGCTAATGCTGTCTTTTTATTTTCAGTTATATTTTTGTAATTTCAATGTTAGATTTCCCACAAATTTATATTATTAGCACAGAGGCATTGCTGGAGAGGTCACAGTTAAGATGCTGATTTCAGGACGTTGCTTGTCTTGAAAGAAAACTTAATCTAATTTTGATTTTGAGTTGTGCCCGTCATTATCACGCATGTTACTACAACATATTATATTTCGCATTTTATTTATTAGCTCTTTCTACAGAGAGATTATTTTGAAGAGGTGGCTGCACTATCAACTGAAAAATTCTCCTCACTACCTATAATGTATCTTTAACTTAAAGCTAAAACTCTTTTTAAAAGTACCTGGCACACCAAATGTGACACAATAGTGTCCACACTTCAAAAGCATCCTTCATTAAATATCAACTCAAAACCTATGTACTTCTGTTCATGTGTTACTAACAGCTTCAGCCCATCTGATTCCAAGTTTGCTACATGTTCAGATGATGGCACTATTCGTGTGTGGGACTTCTTACGTTGTCATGAAGAAAGAATTTTACGTGGTACGTACATGTTAAATTTTTTTATCATCAATTGACTATATGACTATTTGCCGGACTTGTTGTTACTCTTCCCTCTTCTCAATTCCGTTCATTTAGGTTCTTACATTGCTTTGGCCAACTTTTTAAAACTTTTATTCTTTTTACCAGGTCATGGAGCTGATGTTAAGTGTGTCGATTGGCATCCTCAGAAAGGCCTTATAGTTTCTGGTAGCAAAGATAATCAGCAGCCTGTGAAATTATGGGATCCCAAAACTGGCCAGTCCCTAGCCACTTTGTAAGTACCTCATTCCTCTGCTAAATGTTTAAATTAGAAAGATTGTTTTCCTAAAGCTTGTGCTTCCATTTTACTCATAGACACGCCCACAAAAGTACTGTTATGGATGTGAAGTGGAATAGCAATGGTAACTGGTTAGTTACTGCATCAAGAGACCATTTGTTAAAATTATTTGACATCAGAAATTTAGGGCAAGAGCTACAAACATTCCGAGGACATAAAAAGGAATCCAGCAGTGTTGCGTGGCACCCATATCATGAAGGCTTGTTTGCTAGTGGTGGTTCTGATGGTGCTATATTGTTTTGGCATGTTGGGTGAGTATATTTAATGTGTTTTTAGAGACATTGATGTGAAGAGGAATCATAAATTTGTTAAATAATTTTGTTCACCAAATTACTAACTGTTTGTTTTTTTCTCAAATTGTAAACAGAGCGGATAAAGAAGTTGGAGCCATTGAACAAGCTCATGACAGTATAGTTTGGACACTGGCATGGCACCCTCTGGGACATATTCTTTGTTCAGGCTCCAATGACCACACCAGTAAATTTTGGACTCGCAATCGTCCAGGTGATCAAATGCGTGATAAATATAATCTAAACAATATGCCAGCTGGCTCTGGTGGTCTTGAAGAAATGGAGCACGGTAGGTCGAAGTTTTACCTTACTTTTGTACAATAATTTTACAACCATTTTATTCCCATGTCTTCTTATGCTTCCTTAGATGATTCTGCTGTTATTCCTGGAATGGGTCCAGAAGATAAAGTGGACAACACCCATGATTCTCATGAATTATCTGTGACGTCATCTAGTATTGATGGAGGAGCTATTCCTGGTCTTGACTTTGATATGGATGACAAAAACTGTAAACAGCCACTTATAAAGAAGGTATTCTACCCTATTCCATATTTTAATTTTAGAGATGCATGTATTCCTGATGGTAAAAAAGGTGTTTCTACTACATTAATCTATAGTCGGTTTGGCATGTGGTCTTATAAACCTTCTCTTTAAGATGTTCAGCATGATTAGAAGGGTATTCCTAAACCCTATTTAGGTAGTCTAACATTAGCATGTTATCTGATAATCACTCAAAGTAGCAACATAGACTATAGTTGCACTCTATTTGCCTTTCATTTCTTGAATCTATTTTCCTCTCTGTTAATGATGCCACAAAGTGCTAGGCCAGAGGCATTAAATTAGAGGGGAGAATAGAGATAAGAAAACCACTGGTATTGTTGTAGAAGCATGAATGTAGTGGGTTATGCTTCAGGGTTACTCCGGAATGCGATGGAATCCAGCTGCCAACAACACCAGACGTCCAAAGGTGATATTTCAAGGGCATGGAATCCTTTCTTCTATACCATTATGTGACTTGGTGCATGGATAGTAATTTGCAATGAAAAAAGACGCTTTAAATATGATAACTCACATAACCTTTTCCTCTGCAAACTTTTAATGTGTAGATTTTTATCTAATGATATAATATGCTCTGCTTTGCTGCCTCATTTTCGTTTATTTGTATGTTAATTGTATACTGCTTGCATCAATATTAATCAAACCTTTGTGTTTTAGGTTCCCTATTCAAAACCTATTCCTAGAAACTTTCAAGCACAATGGAATGACACAGCTCGCCCTAATATGGATGATGGTACGTACCTGTTGTCGAATCATTTTCAAATAACCATCAATATTTTTAAAGAGATTTCCCTTTATGCCATTCCTCTTTTTTATTAATGTGTTTTCCTGATCACTAAATGGTTTAGGGGGTACTCATAACTTGAAAGAAAATAATAGAATACCTTGGCAACATACAATGCAGTATGAATATGATGAAGGTGGCCCATTCCCACCAAGCTCCAACTCTTTCCCTGCTGCCCCACCTTTTTCGCTGACAAGGTTTCCTCACTGGGTTCCTGAACAACCCTATATCACGCACCCAACCAACCATTCAAGCTTTCCTATACTGAGAGAAAGACAAATTCCTCCTTATGCCTCCATCAAGATATTCTCATATCACCATGGTCCCAAGAACCCTCTTCCATCAGTCCCCATCAATCCTGATAATTCTGAATATGGATATCATTCTGTCAGTGAGTGCTTAAAAATCCCCCTCTTCTGAATGTTTCATGAGAGTTATTCAGATCAATCAATAAACTTGGGTCTCATTCTCCCCTATTCTTCATTTTAAACCTGTTTTATGCTTATAATAATTATATTCCATAAAATACTGGCCAGTCTCTAAAGTTTTCTTAATTTATGACTACAGAAAATGGAGATGATGATTTTAATGGTGAAAACCGAGAAGCTGATCAAGATGCTATTGCTAAGATGATCCAGCAAATTGTTGAAAAAGTACCAGGGGTAGTTCCAGTTACAGAATTAGAACCAACTGCCCTGTTTATGTATGGAAAAGTATTACCAGTTACACGTAAGTACCTACCTTAGATGTCTATTTAATATACTGTATATTATCTTTTAGATTATATTATATCCTTCATTATTTGTTTTCCCTGATTGCAGCGGATTCAGTCCTAGCTCGTACCATAAATAATGGGGCTGATGCAATCTATCGGCTCATTAATAGTGGTGCTGTGGAGGACTTGGTGAATGATATCGCTCATGATGAGACAACTCAATATTTCCATGAAGATCCTTCAGTTGACCATGAGCTAAGATCTATAAAAGCCTATGAATTACCCCGCAGACCTCCTCTTTTATCCACTCCCAACATACCCCCACAAAAATTGGTGAGCTGATCCATTTCAAAATGCCGCACTAGTGACTAGTATAGTAATTTTGTCACTAAACTAACATTTTATGTGCTTCTTGTAGCCCGACAGGAGAGGACGTGGTCGGAGAGACAGGGACCGAGGACGGCCCCGGGATCACGATGACGGGGAGGAGGATTATCGTGATGGTCAGGACTATGATGACCAGGAAGATGATTACTATGACGGTTATGAAGAAGATGACTCAGATGCAATTCATCAGAGGTTTATGAGTGAAGAGGAGGAAATTTACAACCACATGCTTGAGCAGGAATCAAATCAGGCTTATGGAGATCCAGATTTAAGGATGGTTGGAGGGTATGTGCTGGGCCTGGTTTTATTTCTGACTATATTTGATATACTCAACAACTTAATTCTTACCCACTATGTTCTTCGATTTCAGCCGAGAGACGAGGGACCAGGATTTGAGAGGTAAAGGGAACGGTGATCAAGACCTTCGTCAGGCTACGCCTGGCCCAAGCTTATTGGGCATACCTGGCGTTGCGCCGGGCGTGCTGGGCAGGAGTCCTTCTTCAGCGCCGTTTATGAAGGATCACGATTTACGACGGCCGGGGCCGTTACTTGCGGTAAGTCGAGCATTTGAATTAGCCATGCTTTGGTGTATGTGACGTTGAATCCTGTATTTAACTTTCGATCACCGATCCCTCTAGGACCGGGATCCACGAGACCCCCGAGACCCACGTGACCCTCGCGACCCTCGCGACCCTCGCGATTCGCGAGATCCCCGCGAGTCTCGAGACCCCCGCGAGTCGCGAGACCCCCGTGACCCCAGACAGCAGCACAGCGCTGGCGCGGCTGCACTGGCAGGGGGCGCGGGCGAGGACAATATGGGCGAGGACCGCGACTACCGGCGGTCAGGGAGGCCGCCCCTGCTTGCCCACGGCCACGGTGCCAAGGGGCCGCAGGGTGGGCTGCTCGGCAACTTCCCCAACCAGAACGCTGGCCCGTTCGGCGCGGGTAAGGACGGCGACTACCGGCAGGGGGGCAGCGAGGACAGCGGCAGGCCGTCCGGTCCTAGCCGAGGCTACCGGAGCAAAGACGACTACGAGGAGGGCGAGGCTATGGACGACCAGGACGAGGAGTCTCACTATGGCCGCCCTGGTTCTGGACCCAGCCGCGGAGGCTTCGGCGGGGGCGGGGGCCACCGCTGGGGAGGACCTGGTGCGTCCGAGGCCGGCGAGGAGGACTTCGACGACTCTGGCTCCGGACCGAGTCCCGGCCGGTGGGGTGGCAGGGGCCGGGGGATGCCTGCGCGTGGCATGCGTGGTGGCGGCTGGGACAGCAAGCGGCCGCCGCACACTGCCTCGCCCGGCGGCCCAGGCGGTCCCGGGTCAGGACCTCCCCCTCGGGGTGGCCTCCTGGAGACGCCCAAGGGAGGCCTGCTGGCCACGCCGGCCATGCCGCCCATGCAGGACGACGACTTCCACGGACACCACGGTGGCAAGCGGCGCCACTGGGACGAGGAGGGTGACGGACATGACGAAGGAGAGGACGGCGAGGGAGGCGGTGGGCACCGAGGTGGTTACCGGGGCCGCGGCCGGGGTGGCGGCGGCTGGGGAGGTGGCTACTCGTCCTCGCCCAGAGGGTCCTGGGGCTCCGGCTCTGGGGGGCCCATGCGCGGCCGCGGCCGGGGCGGCAGGCCCGGCGGACCGCCCAGGGGCGGCAGAAGAGGGCGCGGCAGGAACTAACCAGACTGCAGCCTCTGCTCCATTCCCAGATCGACTGTTCTTCGATCATCACCAACAATTCTTCCTACACCTGCATTTGATTCGCACTAAGGCGCTTCGAACCCATTCCAGTCGTGATACTGGTCAGTGCTCAGTGACGATTGTGTGATTTTATTTAAAAGAAAAAATAATAGCCCAGCACCGTTTGTGTCAGGGTGACGTGAAATCATTTTTTTTTTCTGTTTCTCATGGTGGCTTTTAATCTGTGGACATATATAATGTGCAATCAAGATATGGGGGAATCACCAAAAGTTCAGCTAACTTGTGTAGTTTTAGTTCAATTAAAAAGAAACTGTATCGTATTTGTGAAATAAGTGTTACAAAAGAGAGAGGAAGTGAAAACTAATTGTTATTTTGTCAGGGTTTGGCTTTATTTTTCTAGCCATTTGCCCACTTTTGTGACTGTTTTCTCTTTCTATGTCCTATAAGAATTAATTTTACTATTTGCAATTATGTGATTGGGTAATTCACTGAAGATGAGTGTGCTATTCTTTTGAGGTATTGTAAATGCTCAACAGAATCAAACCTGTTTGTTGGCATACGATAGATGCATGTGTACATGAAATTGAGGCGTCTTTGTTCCGTTATCGTTAAATGTCCTTCATTCAGAGACATTAAAGTCAAAGTGGATAAGAAAAGAAAACATACGAAAACATCTTATTTAATTTACAAGCTATAAACAAATCCATCCGTAAGAGCACATTCATGTGTGCGAGAGCACATTCATGTGTGCGAGGCGACACAAGTGCCCCTGGCTGCACCTCTCTACCAGTCTAATGCCCTTACGTGTCCCGGGGACTAGTCTTTGAACTCTCGTCAGTCTCGTCGTTGACTTAAGGGTTGCGCCGCTGACGCCGACGTCAAGAGGCGCTCCCGGCCGCCGCGCTCCGCGGCACGACGCGCACGTTGATACCGCCCTCGGCCGTGAGGACGAAGGCCTTGGGGTCGAAGCGCATGGGCACGGGGAGGCCGGGCGCGGGCAGGAGCTTGTAGTGCTGCAGCAGTCGAGCCAGCCCCATCTTCATCTCCACCATGGCGAAGCGCAGTCCTGGGGGGACGAGACAGGCAAGGGTTCAATGGAGCTCGAGCACACGGATTGTGTGACACTAGTTGTCTTTTGGGGGTTACCTATGCAGATCCTGGGGCCCTCGCCGAAGGGCAGGTAGGCGAAGGGGTGCCACGACTTGCGCCCGTCCTCGCTGAAGCGCTCCGGGTCGAAACGGTCGGGCTCCGGGAAGATGTTGGGGTCGCGCTGGATGGCGAAGGTCGGGATGAAGACCTGGTCGCCGACCTTCATGTGCACCTTTGTGCCCGGGAGCGTGTAAGGCTTGGTGCACACGCGCACGAGCCCTGGCACTGGCGGGTACTTGCGCATGGTTTCTGAGAGGAAATGCAGTGTGTTTGAGCCGGGCCGTGGTGCGTGAGAACGGCGATGAAGAACAGACGACTTACCGAGCAGCACCTTCTCGATGTACGTCATCTTGGCGACGTGCTCGTACGTGATGGGCTGGCCGTCGTCGAGCTCGCTCAGGATCGCGTCAACCTCCTGTCGCGCCAATTCCTGCACCTCCTCGTTGATGGCCAGCTCGTACACGCAGAACGACATGGTGGACGATGACGTCTCGAAGCCCGCGACGAAGAAGATGAAGACCTGCGCCGTCAGCAGGCGGTCGTCGAGAACTGCAACGGGAATGTGAAGTGATGCTTAGGCCCTTTTTCTTGAAAAGTGGGGGAAAATACAATGAAATTTTAAGTTTTCACCAGCACTGTCGACCTTTTTTCCGAAACGTTTCATAAAATATCTTACAGCATTGTTGGTTGTGTTTTGAAACTAAAGTGTCTTGTACTCGTAAAGGATGCGAAAGCTTTCTAAGGAGGCACTCACCCACTGCGTCTTCCTTGCTGTCCTTGTCGCTCTTGTCGAGCTGCTCCTGCTGGCGCAGCTGCATGAGGAGCTGCATGAAGTCGTTCCTCACCTCGCCGTTGCGCTCGCGGAAGCCGATGACGTCCCGCACGAGCGAGATGAAGAAGTCGGTGATCTCCCTGCTGACGGTGCGCAGGCGCAGCACGCCGAGCAGGCCGGGGAAGAAGACGCGCAGCAGGTGGATGGCGGTGCGGCTGTAGGTGGGCAGGAAGACGCGCCGCCCCATCTCGCGGAACTGCGAGTCGGGGTCCTTGAGCGTGTTGAAGTGCAGGCCGAAGGCGCACGTGCCGATCACGTCCGTCGTGAACTTGGCCATGACCTCGCGCATCTCGACCTGGTGCTCGCGGCCCTCCTGGCCCGCGCCGACGAGCGCGACCAGGGCGTCGGCGCACTCGTTGAGCAGCGGCGTCATGCTCTTGAGCTTGACGGCGCTGAAGCTGGGCGTCAGCTTGTTGCGCAGGTTGCGCCAGTGCCGGCCCGACAGGTTGACGAGCGTCGCGCTCATGGGGTCGCGCTCCACGTCGCAGAAGATGCCCCGGTCGTGGAAGTGGCCGAAGTCCTTGACGAGGAACTGCTTGATGGTCTCCGGGTCGCGCAGCATGAGCGACGGCGTGCGCATCTGGTAGAGGCCGGCGTACGGCAGCCCGTCGAAGCGGTGGTACAGCTTCTGGTAGCCGTAGACGTGCAGGTCGCGGAACAGGACGATGTCCTTGATGTTGCCGAAGAGCGGGTCGGGCGGCAGGTGCGGCACCCCGCGGCTCGACCAGTGCGAGAACGTGGCCGTGGCGTAGTAGTACAGCAGCGCGGCCAGCAGCACCAGCCCGGCGAGCACCTCCAGGACGGCCATGGCGGCGTGCGGCTGCAACAGGACGGGGCTGTGTGAGTGAGTGAGTATGAGCGACGCCGCGCGGGCTGCTGCTGAGCCGCTCCGCTCGCCTCGCTCCCGCGCACCAGACTCGCCTGCTCTGACGCTGCTGACGACGCGCCGAGCGGTTACGACTTGCGAGCGAGTATGTTTGTCCTTCTCCCTTTCGTCCCGTTTTCGTGGATCCGGGAACAGTGGACGGCAACGAGTCTCGTCCAGGCGTGCCCGCCGTACCGCGTCAAGAGGGGAAAAGGGGGGGGGGTATCATATCGCCTGATTGTGGGAACAGAATTGGGGCAGTGAGGTGACTTGCACGCGAGAGGAGAGAGAGG